AGAGGCAGGGTAAAATCTACAGTTTTCGTTATGCAAGCATGACCTTGCATCGACCTTACTTCTTTCATAGCATTGGATCAAGACATAGCAGAGCCAGCTCACACATGCGACTCCTGCTTATGCGATCCCCATACCCCGCAGCGCACGCATGAGAAAGGGCATGATTGAGGCGCACCATGGTCGGCGGGGCTTTGACCGACCACGGAGGGTGGGAGGGGAAAAGATTCGCGCACAGGTGTGCGATTTGGGCCGCTCGCATCAAGAGAGACACTGAACTTTCACAGAATAGTTCAGGCACCCTGCGCCGGCCAATCCTACACATGCCTGTCAAGCTGCTCCTCCTGCCCAAGCCCAAAAATCCAGGAAGCAAACCATAGCAAATACCCGAAGCTGTGCACCAGCGGCCATCTGTAAGCCTGTAAGCTTCACTCGCCCGGCAATTGGCACTATAAGTCAACCCAGAGAATGCAGCAAGTGGCAGGTCTGTCACTCCAAAGCCTCAGTAAGCCCTTGGTCTTTAAGCTTCAAGCGCAAGCCCCCCGTATCAAAACAATGCCGTGTGTGAAGCTCTCTCTGCCTGCCTTCGGATATGATTCCCGGGCAGCCGTTCACGGAAGGGAAACTGTCATGCTGAGGTATACACCAGTTAATGCCTCTTCTAGTGAACCATGGATCCGTGCCTTTGCTGCTTTGTCGTCGGCCCGCACCAGCCAGATCAGGGCCAAAAGCCGCGCAAAGGGCACCATTGAAAAGGAACGCGGGGCAAAGCAAGATTGTCGTAAAGTGGGAAAGACCGGCAAGAGGTTCGGTAGATCCCAGTCGGTGTGTTTGAAGTACGTCCCCTGCCTCTATGATGTCTCGGGTACTTGAGATATCGGGTGCATCATGGACCATTCGATGATTGACTTTGCCCCTGGCGCGATCGGACGCGGCGTGTCAAGACTGGGGAATCAGGGGACAGAGCAGAGCTAAACCCTAACGGAGACGCCGGGGCCAATCAAAGCATCTTTGACTCAGACCCTTGCCATAGGGAATATCCTGATGATCATTCAGCAGGATCTGATCGACTTGAAACGCATTATTTCAGGCCCGGTCTCGTGACGGTTAAGGGGAATGCAGACGTCCAGCCCTCTAAACGCCCGCGGAGACCTGAGCGCCACAAGCCCAAGTGGCCGAAGGTGCTGACCTGCATCCTCCCCGCCGAGGAAGCTGAAGAGGCCCGGCTGCTTCGCAGCCTGCAGGCCGAGGCCAAGGGAGCTTCAGAGGGTCCCGGCAGGAACTGGGAAGGTTCAACGTTTCAAGGCGCAAGGCGCGCGGGGGCAGGCGAAGCTTGGATGAGCGCGAAACGCGCGGAGAGCGTGCCTCCGAAGGAGCCTTCAGGAAAGGGAAGATGTTCCGAAATTCCGAACTGACAGCGCGCCCCCGCTCACGGCCCCCAGGTCACGGCCTGCGTCTGGGGCTCCTGCACACCTCAGGAGCGGCATAAACGTCAAGGCTTCGGGCTGTAGAGTGGAGGAGGCCCTTTGGAGTCTGGAGAGTTCTGGCTTTAGGGACGAGCAAGGGCACTGTTCACCTTCACTCCGCTGCTCAGTACCGACAGAAAGCCCTCTGCCTGCCTCCGCAGAACTCCCGGCAGTTTTCAGGCCCAGGCCTCGCGAGCTCAAGGTTTCGCAGTTGTTGGCTTTTTAGCTTGAATTCCCAACAGGCCTCACCAGTCGGTCGCACATGCAGTGGCACCACCCCGCTTTAGGGTCCGTTGGCAGATGTTGCTGACTCTCGAGAGTTCAGAGCTTCAAGTCTAAGTACACAGAATGCAAGCCGTCGAGGCATGCGCAACAGCTTCCGGGTCTCGGGTTTTGAAGATCTCCACTCTGAGGCATTACTCGAGCTCTCTGCTTAGAAGCGTGGCAAGGGTTGGAGGTTGAATTTCAGGAAATTCCTCTTCTGGCGTTTATTGGGGCTCCTTTTCAGGGATCGCAGGCTTGGATTAACCGAACCTGTTGACCATTGTTGGGCCTCGATCACAAGCTGAGCCCTTAGTTTGGGGCTGGATTGTTCTCGCAGCTGGCAGCTACTATCCTGCAAACATCTTCCCCTGAGACCTCCATCCATGAGTCACTCAGCAGCATCCTACAGGCTTGGGAAACAGACCCATACCCCGGCCTGAAGCGGCTTGGAGGCGCTGCTACTGGCTCAAACAACGGCGGCTGCCAACCACCTTTCTAGGAGTTCAGGAACTTGGAAACTTGAAAATTGCCGCTCTGGGGCTCTCGGGTTGATACGGCTTTCAGTTTCTATAGCTTCTACAGGAACTTATTCGAGGGCTCAGCCTTTTCGATTTCGTCATCTCGGGGTTCAACACCGGCTTTTGAAGACAAAGCAGAAGCGGTGAAATTGCCGCAAAATCCGTGGTCCTAGGTCCTAGGTGCCAATCAGATTCTATCGACGCTTGGGATGTAGAACTAAAGATTTTGCCGTTCTGGAGATTTCGTGGTTCAAGGCTTTCGCGACTTTCGTGAGATTGGACCAGAAGGCCAGTCTGGAACCTGCGGCTGCGCAAGCTTATTCACTACAAGGCCTTGACATTCACCATCTTTCACCGCTGTCTTTTCTCTCCGGCACGCCAGCGAAACCTCTGGCGCAGTTGTCGCGACATCTCCCGCCCGAAGGAGCCGCAGCAAAGACTGTGCTCGCCGTGCTCCCTCAAAACAGACCATTGCCAACATCAGAATTCGACAACCACATTGCGACGACTAGTTCGACTGCTCCGGCAACATGGTAACACGACAACCATCCTACCAAAACAAACGCTCCAAACACGAACAACCAAACTTGATTCCTTCTTTCGGCGCGGTTGCTGCTATGATTGCTGAAAGGGTCTTGCGAATCTGCTTGTTGCCGCTATCCCTGATTTTGACCAGATGTATCGGCAGCGTACAACACCAATCCTCATTTGTGTGTTCTTGTTGCCATCCCAGCACCGGAATACATGCTTGTAACTCCAAAACACCCTGCCGTGCCGTATGCTAGCAGCTGTTGCAGGCGCCCTGCAGGACTACGGAGAAAGCGAAACTGCCTGATGCAGGGTTCATGGGTTTCAGTTGTCCAGACCGTCGCCCGTAAGTTAGCCCTGAGGGCTTAGTGGGATTCTGGCAGAACCCTACAGTTTTCAGTAGCTCCTTCTTGAAACCCAGCCCCAGCAGGCTCTCCATCGACGGCCGCTGCGTTTGGCAGCTTGCCAACTATGGTTGTCCAAAGATTGGGACTGAGGCGAGACACAGAAACAATGACGATGAGACTGACGATGATGATGATAGCTAGGAGATTTGACAATGGAATCCTAATCCTGAGCCGAAGCTGGCACAATTCAAGAGAGTCCTCCTGCTGGAAACCGCACAAGGCTTCAGCAGAAGGAGCTTTGCGATTTAAGGGTCGCACTAACGTCTTCGGACAGGAGCTAACACAACATCTGGACAGAAGCTAGTACAGCACAGGCGTGCAGCGAAAGGCGGACTGCTTCGCAGTTGCCACCTATTGCTGCTCAGCTAGAGCTAAATGTCGGGCTCAGGGTTTTGGGTATGGCTCTGATGGCTCAAAGATGAGCACAGAATTTCGCGCTCAGGGGTGGGATCCAAACTTATCCAAAGGTTGGGCTCCATAGCCTCCGCGTGGACAACGCTCAAAACCTGAGCCCTTAAAGATCAACCGCTATCAGTGGCGGCATCTGTGGCGCCGGTGCAGCAGGCGCCTCCGATGGGCATGTGGGAAATTACAGTGGTTCATGTTGTCTACAGCCTTTGGTGTCAGCCCTCCAGCAAGTCTCTTTAAGTCTTTAAACGCATAGTCAGAAGCTGCGGACTACCTTCGCACCATCGCGGCCTGGCACACTGCATCGGTGTATCCCAAAGGCGTTCGACCTTCTGAAGCCTTGTTTCGTGTCCTGAGGCCTAGGCACGAATCCCCTGTCCGGCCCTCAAAAGAGACTGAGTGCACAACACCACTGATGCCTTTTCATCCATCAACCGCGCATGAACCGAGAATCCTCTTAGGTCCTTCAAAGCATGCTCCCCCGGCTCCCCCTGGAGCGTGCCGGAGCCACGCTGCAGAAAGGCGGCAGTGTCTTCGGGTCCTGCTCTAAGGTAGGCTGGTCCATTGAAGCTTCAACGTTCATGAGGTCTGAAAAAATGCGCTCGTCAAGCTATGGAGAAGAATCACTCCACGCTATATTATGATGGTATCACAGGCAAAACGATCTTGTTCGAGTAGGCCTCGTTGCATCACAACCCTGTGCCATGGCCCAGGTGAGTGTGCAGCGGGAGCAGAAGCTTTGCCCTTTCGCGCTTTCGCCAGGCAGGAGTCCTTCCAAGGAGGCTTGCCCTGCAGCTTCGTGTTTGTGAACCTCGTCAGCAGTGATTGTGCTCCTCCCGACTTAGGGAAATAGGGCGAGAGAACGTGCCACCTGTCCCGAGTCTGAATCCTCGGGTACCTTACAAACGCAACAAAGGCCCTCTGTTGGAGGGCCGGAGGCTCTGCATCTTCCGGTCTCCGTCTTCCTTGAAACATGAGCCCCAAGAAATGAGCCGTACTCCTTCTGTCCCTATGACCCGGCATCGTGAGAGGTGCCCGAGAGGTGATCTGCAAGCTTTGCTGAGAGGATCGGACGTCGGATGTTGCTGGACTTCTCACTGGGCGAAGCGAGGAAGCTTCTGAATAGACTTCGCTGCAGACAGCCATGTAAGCCGACACTGAATTCTGGGCTTCAGCAGACAACGTACATCGACGAAGGCGGCATGTTCCGACATCGCCGCCGAGGTACCGTCCCAAGCCCATCAATGGGAATCGGCGCTGGGGAAGCGCTGCCCTGAAGAAGCGTAGCGGCACAGGGGTTGGCTTGTGAGGTTGGGGCGGGCTTGGGAACAAAGCATGGCCTGGATGAGAAGAGCTAAATACGTCAGGCCGCGGATCCCTCCCTCTGGGCTGGCCTGGAGGCGTCCCACTCGTTGAGGTGCGGCTCGAGGAGCGGGATGAACGGAGCGATCTCGCCTCGCTTCGTTTGTGAATTTCTGGAGTGCGGCGATCGGAGGTCAATGCTGTATCGGGTTGAAGGCCAAGCCATGAACCCCCCCACAGGTGGCCCTCACAGCTTTCTCCGAGCGACGAGGGCTTCGGATCTTCATGTTTGGCGCCTGCACAGAGAAGTCAATTATCCTCGCAGCTAGCTGTTTGGCAGAAAAGGCAGCTTGAACACTGCACTGCGGGTAAGCGCCGCAGAGCAGAGTGCTTTGTACTTGAGGACTATAAGTTTACTAAGTTCAGAGTCCAGGTCTCTGCTGTGCCGAGTCCATGGATCCAACCGCCAAGCGCCAAGGGCACCTCGAGAGGCTTCCGAGAGGGTCCCCGTCGCAGTGGCAGCCGGAAGCGCTTTGCGACCTGCGGTCGGGCTCGTCAGCTTTGTGAGGTCCTTGGGCTTTCGTAGGAACCCAGCACGTCAATTTCAATGAAGTCATCATAAGTCATCACAACATAACGGCAATTTTCCGTTCAAGTCCTCAGCTTTACAGAGATTCCACAAACGTCTGCGACTGGATGACCCTTCCCGGTGCTCCCTCTGCCCCTCACACAGCCAATGCCCGCACCGCGCGCAGCTCATCTTTGAAGCTGGCAGGGTCGAAGCGCCAGTTTGTGCGCTGGCGCGGCAGGGCCTCAGAAAACAGCACTCATGCAAAGCATCCGCGGTTGCCAGCTGGCTTCAAACATCATCATCCAGTTCATTACCCTGAGCCGCGAGCTATGCTCGAAAACCGCAAGCACTTCAGTGTTGCTAAGTCCAACCTCCACCCAGCCGAGAGGCGTTCGCATCTGCCCAGGCACCCGGGACCTGCCGCGACCTGGCGGTGTGGAATTGAAAGGCTGCTGATGCGTTCGGATTGGATCTCGAAGCCCGGACGCTACCAAAGGGTTTTGCTCACATCCATTCTCGTATGCTCAACGCACGTGCAGCTGAAATGCCTCGGTATGATGCATTAACGTGTACCTGCATGGTCGGGAGGATCACGCAACAATCAAGGGTTAGTTCAAAACAAAAGGCTTCCTGCACATGACCTGCGCACTATCAGCACGACCACCACCGCCGCCACGACCCGCAGACTAAGGCGAAGCTAGAACCCACGCTTGTTGATCAAAGTACCAACCCCGCAAGACCCGACAAGGTCTAAAGCCTTAACTGCATCGGCCACGTCACTTCCTGAAATTCTGCCGCCACTGCACTCGAGCGGTCTCGCGTGCTGTGCTGATCTCCTGGCAAGCTTTTTCAGTAAGCAGACAGCTTCGAAGCCTCGAGGTGGTGAGCTGGTCCGGTCCTCCAACAAATCCTTCAGGGAAGGGAGCTCTTCCGCATCAGCCTCAGCTTTGGGTCAAAGCAAAAATCTCAAGGCACGTTTTCAGCAGATGCCGTTGTTGAAGACTTTGGTTATGTGTTTGCACTTGCCTTGCAGTTCGTGTTCCGGTATGTCTCCGCTGTTCATGTTGTTTGATTGTAACTATTTTCCTTTTGGCGTGTGTGTAAAGTGCTTTGCTCTGGCGTTCTCCGTTCTGAGTAAACACGGTAAACCTTCTCATGTGCGTATGGAATCATCGGAAGAGCACGAGATCTAGAGCAAACCTGGCTAGGTCTCTCCATGGATCCCTTAAGAGTAACACGCGAAGATAGCTTACCAGTCTTCGTCTTTCTGGGAGCCCGACCATGGCACTTGAGACAGCGAAGCTGAAATGGCGGCGAATCGAACCGTCGGAGAAGAGGACATCCATTCATGCAATCTTTGGCTTTCCACGACGTCTTGCTTGCTGCACCTCCCTGCAAGGATCCATCAAGGGCTGAAGACAATATCAGCAAACCTCAGTTTTCAAGCTCCTTGAACACACTGAATCCTCAGGCCAGAGATCCTGCGCTCTGATGTTCAACAGCCTCAGAACTTAAACTCCCCGACCCCCGAAAGCTCTTGCTCAAAAGCAGAAACTTTGCGAAACGAAAAAGAACCCAAAATCTTCCAAAGCTGAATTGTAAATCCAAGGCCCCTAGGCCCTAGGCCCATGCCCGCCTTCCGACCCTGGCGGTGGGGCAGGAGAGCCTTGACGGTCAGGGTTTCCAAGTGCAAGCGTTAGGGCAAGATGCGGGTTTGAAACTTGGAGATTCGTTGCAGGGTTTAGGCAGAGGGCTGCGACGGTTCCAGGGCATCACGATAAAGGATTGAGCACTCAAGCTCTGAATTGCACTGCTTCTGCAGCTCGGCCTGAAGGATTCATGAACTAAGGATTGGAGGGAGACGTGTTTGAGGCATGCGTTTTCTGCCTTTAGCTGTTCTTTCGGCTCTTGGCTCAGGGGCTTTGGCTAAGGGGCAGAGCAATCTGGATGTTTTGCTTCGGGTTTCGGCTTGTGCTTCCAGTGTAGTTTGCAATTCGGCCAGACGCAGATAAGGCCTCGGAGCGGCCGGCTGTGAACAGCCGAGCTTGAGCATGGTTGTGGAAAATGTCTACTGAAGTCGAGCCCGTCTTGTCGTGTCTGACTCTGAATTGTTCAAACCTCACAGTGGCAGAAGCCGTGAGCCCAAAGAACTGGGCGAATGCCATTTTCAGAGGCATGAGCTTCACTAATTACTTATCGGGCATAAGTTGGATCAGGATGTGAGGTCTGGAGGTCGTGAATATTGGAAGCCACCTCAACCAGAAAGGGAATAGTTTGGCATAATCCGACTCCCAACAATCTTAAACTTCTTCCGCACCAGCTGGGATCCCGCACTCGTGGTGCGATCGTCCTGGCCACCATCTTTCAATGAAACCTTGGCAATGCATGATCCGAGCATCGGGATTAAAAACTCGGATACCTGGATGAGGCTCCAAATTTTGCCGATCCGAAAGCCTAAAAAAGGAAACCTGGCTCGCACAGCCAACACGGCCGAACCTGGTGGTGCCATGTCATGCGGGCAGCCTGAGGCATGGGAAGGCTGTGCGGTCGAGAAAATCTAGTTGAGCATGCAGCAATCGTGTTCAGAGTCTGAGCTGCCTGAGCTACTTGGGAATATTGCAAACCCATGACGATGCAACAGCGGCACGAAGGAAAACTGAACGACTTGCCTTTATGGCGATCAAAGCATCCTCACAAGGAGAGATGGGAGGCCCATGCTGGTTTACGCAGCTGCTCGGGATGCGCACGTTGGAACTTAGGTTTCAAGACTCACTTCAGGGGCACATTGTTCAAGTTTTGGGTCTGCGAGGAAGTTTGGGTTGACCGGGGTCATTGCTGGCTCTTACCAAGAATTCTACCATGCACCAAACACTGCTGGATGCATATTCAAGCAGGCACTCGGGCAGTCCAACAAAAAACTGTATGGCATGGGCCTCGCAAGCTCAGAGTCGCAATAGTTGCCTTTTGCAATGGTTGTAACGTTGGTACCGAATTCTGTTTTACATCGAAAATACACGATCCGATACAACGACATAGCTGCATCTCGGTCCTTTCTTCAATTCTTCTACAAACTTCTGCCGACAAGAACATGCTGTCTAAATTACTATATCTTTTCCAACCCGACTTCAAGACTTCAATTCGGTTTCCCCTGGCTGTTTCTTACATCTAGACAATGGGGCTGGGCCCCAGACCTTCGGGC